GGATAGTGTAGGATATGACATAATAATAATTTATAAATCACATCAAGGGTTCATGAGGGAGGGGGGAATGGGGGGGGAATGAGGAGCTGATAGCAAGGACTCAAGTAGAAAGCAAATGTTTTGGGAATGATGAGGGCAACAAATGTACAAATGTGCTTGACACAATGGATGGATGGATTGTGATAAGAGCTGTACAAGCCCCCAATAAAATGATTAAAACAAAATGCAGAGAGTCATGCTGAGCCTAAGGGTTAAGATGTGGATTCTCTGGTCACTGAGCACATCCAGGGGAGCAAAGCCCCCAAATTGCACTGCCGACTTACAGAGCTCATGGTTGGATGAAACCAAGCATGAGCCCCCCTGCCACACTGAAACGAAACTTAAGGCTCAGGAGGGAATTAAGCTTAACATAAAAGTTAACACACGGTAAAAAAGTTAGCTGTAATCTTGACACAAAGCTGTGTGGTAAGCCTTTTTTCCTGGGTGTGTTGGAATTATGCAACTTTAGGCTAGCCGGCCAATCACAAAGCATGCCCCAGGGACTCCACAAGGACCCTGGGCTGGTCACAAGGCCAGCAGTTTGAAACCACCAGCTGCTCCTCGTAAGACGAAGCTTTCTGAGTCACGGTCGTCTCAGAAACCCACAGGGGCGGCTCTATCCTGTCCCACAGGGTCACTGTGAGTGGGACTCAACGGGACAGCAGTGAGAGTTCTCTGAGGGACGTTTCAATGCTCATAATGCGGCTTAAAAACAAGATGGTCGTCATTGAATTGATTCTTACTTACGGCAACCCTGTGGGTGACACGGAACTGCTCCGTGGACTCTCCTTACAGGTACCCGTGACAGTCCCACCAGCAGGCCACCTAGAGCGCTGCTTTCTGGTCAAGCCGTCAGTAGCTGGCGGCAGGCGGCTGGTGCCATATGGGTCCTTTGTTGATCATAACGAGAGCAATCATAATGAACACCAGCAGCCAATCCTTCCCGGGTGCTTCCTCCGTTCTAAGTGTCTTCACACACCAGCGAATTTAACAGTGGGGAAGCACCGCCCCTCTAGGTGGGAGAGCCGGTTACGAGAGCCCAGGGGTTTGCCCACCGAGCCCCAGTCTCTCACCCATCAGGCAGGCACTACTTCTCCTGGGGCCCCCCACTCCCAGGAGCCGGGCCCTGGTCTGTCCAGTTCCCTCTGGAGCCCTGGTGCCTAGAACAGTGGTTGCTCAAGAAGTCGCTGCCGGAACAAAACAAATGCTGTGTAACTGGAGCTGGGAGGTGGTTAATGAGCGGTTGGGCAGAGGAGGGGATGGGTTCCCTTTCCCACCCTGGGTGGGGCCTCAGAACCTTCCTGTGGGGAGGGGAGAGGCCCCACCTGTCATTCGCACACACGGGGGTCTAGGTAGTGTCGGTGCACAGTTCAAATCCCTCCCAGAGCTGGAAGTTGAGGGGGTAGTTGGTTCCGGGCTCTGACCTCCGGCCCTGCCTCTCTCAGCTCCAGGGCTTTCGGAGGCACCTCCTGGACTGATGCCTAACCCAAACCCACCACCACGGGGGTCGGTTCTGACTCAGAGGGGTTCTGAGCCAGCTGCATCTTTCTCCTGCAGAACAGCTGGCAGGGGGCGGGAGGTATCGTGAACCTTTAGCAGTGCAATGCCTAAACCTACAGGACTACCATGGCAGTCCAACTGGAACTCAGTCCAGCACATTCCTCCTTTGGGGTCCGGCTGCCACGTGCTGGCTTTCTGGACAGGAGGCCCCTTGTGAATGACCACCGTTTTGCTCCATTCCCCTGCCTGTCTCAGTCCGCCACGACCATGCTTGGAGTCTCCCGTCCAGCCTCCCTTCTCTCTCCAGGTCTTCAATTCATCCGCCGTGCTGCCCCGGGCCATCTGCACATTGCTGTCCCTGATCTACCCTCGGTGACCCCCACTGACCTCCAGCGGAAACCTGCCTCCAGTCACATTTCAAGTCTCCTCACCCCTTCCCCACCCTCCACCCCACCCCACCCCACCCCACCCTACCTCACCGCTGACAGAATGACTCTTTCCTGCTCAGGGGGCTGGAACCCTGATTCACCACCTACCAGCTGAGTGACCTTGAGCAAGTTACTGACTTCCCTGTGCCTCAGGCTCATCTGAGAGCGGGACACAGTGATGACACCTGTCTTGAAGGCTGCGGGAGGGACCCGGCACACCAATGGACAGTCCACTCTGCGCGGGCTCAGCCCGGTGACTGTTGGAGCAGTTATCTCTGCCTGAAAAGACTTCTTTCCTTCCCCTGCCTGGCTACTTGCACCCCCCAGCCCACCCTCCTGCCCCCGTAATAGTTTCATTGACGTAGAATCCAGAGATCGTACTCTGCAGTAGTTTGGTCATATGAAAAAGGGCTGGACAGTCGTCACCACACTCAGGTCCCCGACATTTTCTTTCTTCTCCCATTCACTGCTGAGAGCTCCCCATTTCCCTCCAACCTCCCCTCCCAGACCCCCAAGAGGCCATCGATCAATGAAATCAGTCACTGTCTATAGATTTACCGACCCTGGGTCCCACATAGTGGGAAAGGGAGAGAAGCACCCCAAACCCCAACAACAGTACAGAATCAAGCAGAGGAAAACTTCCATGGACCATACGAGTCCCCGGCTGAAGGCGCAGCTTGAGGAGCCAACCCGGGGGAGGGTGTGTGTGTGTATTTTCACACATACATGGCCCCCCTCCAAATGCACCTCAAAACTGAGTGGTGATGGTGACATCATACAGCGAATGCCACTAATGCACACACCAAAATGGTTGCAATGGCAAATAATTTGTTCTTTCTGTTTTACCCCCACCCCCCACCCCACCCCCCACCCCCGGCCTCTCACAGGCTCCCTCCTCTAGGAAGCATTCCCGGCCTCCCCCCAGGTCTGGGTTAGTTGTATGTCCACCAGTCCCAAACACATGGTGACCATGGGCTACCCGCCCTGCCTGGCCCGTCTACCCAGCCCTCGGTCTCCCTGATGGGTCAGTGGACTCCTCTGGGCAGCGGCCAGCCAGCTGCCTCTGAAGCCCACGGGTTCTCCTCACAGTCTCTGAGTCTAAGACTTGGGTGGTGGTGGGGTGGCCAGAGGGGAAGCCCCTCTCTCTAAGATGGGGTGGAGGGCATCTCTCTCAAGAGTGAGGGCAGAGGGGCCACAACACGCGCCGTCTCTTTACCTGCTTTCTGGTCCGAGTCTTTCCTGTCCTCAACTTAATATAGCGTGCGATCAGCTCGTTCCGACCTGGGTGGGGGTGAGGGAGAGCAGTGAGGAGTGGGCAAAAGGTGGGGTTGGCAGCTGGAGAGGCCCCATCCCAGGGAAACTGCAGACTAGTGCTCCCTCTTCACTCCGCCGGCCAACTGCCCCTAGAGGGCAGGAACAGGGCAGCAAAGGCTGTCTGCCACAGCCTGCGGAAGCTATTCATAGGGGAGGGGGCTGTACGAGGCAGCAGGGGCGGCTTCAGGGGCAGACGAGGAAAGGGGCAGGGTGGAACTGTGTGCAGTGGCCCAGACAGGTTTCCCTGCAGACAGACAGGCAGGGCCAGGTGTGGTCGCAGGACAGCAGGACAGCTGGCTGGGGGGGGCGCCCGGGGGGGCCTCTCCAGGCACACCACACCTTCTTACCCAACCTCCCACCTCCAAGTCTGTGTGCACGCACATGCTCACACGCAAGTATGTGAGCAAGCCCTGACCTCCGGCCCGTTCCAGCTCCATCCCTGCCTTGGGGAGACACCCTGGACAAGTCCCCCTTCCTCTCTCCGCTCAATGGGGCAACAAGGGCCGGTCAGTCTCCAACATGCCTCCTGCTCTTAGAGCCCATGGCGTTTCCCATCCCACTGAGCATGCCACCTGGTACCAGTGTCTCTCCCACTCTGTGGGAGGGAACCCGGGTGCCGGTCAGCCTGGGGGCGGGGCGGGGGGCGTAGTGCACACAGAAGCTGGCAGTGTCCAGGGCTCAGCACCACGAGGAAGGTGCTGGGGGCACACAGCTAAGTGGATGTTGGCATCTTCAGGGTATATTCCTCTGACTCCCCAAATTCAGGCTCTCTGTCCCCCAACCCCATGGCCTCCCCAGAATGGTCGCATTCTTTAAATTCCTATCCCATGACAAAACCAGCCCCACTGCTCCTCCCTTCCCTACTCCCCTCCTACACTCTGTCTAAAAATACCCCTGGGGGCTGCCCCAGCCATTTGGGAGGGAGCAGTGGGGCAGGCAGCCCCTACCCTGTGGAAGGTGCCAGACACATCTGTCTACCCCTGCGTGGGGTGCTGGTGGTGCTAAGGGTGGCTACAGTAAAGGGAGCAAGGGCAGGGACTTGGGCTGTTGAAATGCTTGGCCCAGCTGCCCCTCCAGACCCCGTGGTCTTCCCTTCCAGAGGGGAAGGCCCAGGGCCTGCCTTATTCAGCCAGGGTCTGCTGGGAGCGCTGGCAAGGGGCCAGGCCCAAAGGGCTGAGTTATCCCAAAAATGCAACTCCAGGAGAGCCCTGGGTAGGTTGGGGGTGTGTGTGTTTGTGAACAAGAAGGGACGCTCCCTTCTGGAGGCAGGAGGTGGCCCATGAGAGCGAGCAATTGGTGGGGAGGGTTTGTCTCCAGCCCCTCACACTGGCATCCCACCACCCCTGCAGTCCCCACAGTTCCTCAGCACACACTGGAGGGGACTGGGAACTGTAGCCCTCGCCGGGGCTGTCCCATCTCCTGCACTCCCAGAGGAGGGACCCTCTCCCGGCCGGGCAGCAGCAGGCTGGACTGACCCAGTTTCCTTAGCCCACTGAGTCACCCCGAAACCTCTGGGCCAGTGCGGGGCGGGGCTGTGGGTGTAGGTGTGGGCGGTGCTCTGGCAGGGGCAAGCCTGGCTTGTTTATGAGGAGGCAGCGGGTGGGGCGGACAAGCAGAGGATCCGGACACACAGGCTGACACGCCCAGACTCGCCTGTGGCGGGCTGGCAGCCTCAGGCCTCCTCTCAGGACTTCACCAAACAGGTTAGGTGAGGGGCAGAGAGCAGGAGGGGGCGGGGCCAGGAGGACAGCAGCTTAGAGGGTCAGGCTGCCGCCCCCCCCATCCCAAGCCTGTCCACTGTCCGCCCCCCTGCCCCCACACACGCACCGTACATCTTTCCCTCGTCTGACAGGATGATCTTGCGCCGGCCGCAGGGTGGGTAGATGGCCAGGGCCTCCTGGAAGCTCTGCTCGATGTCCGGGCTCCACACACCTTCCGCATCGTTGTCCAGCCCCTTGTCCAGGCCCTCGGGCCCATCCTCCCGGGCCTCCCCGGGGCTGCTGCTGGCGGTCCAGCTGTTGGACGCTATTGTGCTGGTTGTTCTGGGCTCTGGGCCTGAGCCCACTGGGTAGCCTAAGCCTGGGGGCAGACAAAGGGATTGGGGTCAGCATCACCCTCAGACCCAAACCTGACCCTAGTAGCTCACTCTGCACCTCGACCCCCCTCTCTACTCCCATCCCCACCCTGGGTGCCGGTGCTCCTGGCTGGAGTGGAGGTCATGTGTATTCAGAGCTGTGTGACCTTAGGTGAGCTAGTTCGCCTCTCTGAGCCTTGGTCTTGTAAAAGGAGGAAAGGGTCGCCAGGAGGTTGTACGGATTAAAATGTCTTGGCCAAGTTGTCACCCTTTAACACCTGGTGCACGGCACTGGGGCAAGGCCCTTGTGGGCCCATCGGCATTCCCCCTAACATGGGCACCCCACTTCTGCTGGGAGAAAGCACTTCACCTTCAGTCCCCACAACACCTCCTGCAGGGAGAGATGCCACATTACTCGGAGGGGTTAAACTGAGGCTGCAGAGGGCTGCAAGCTGCCAAAGGAGCAAAGCCAGGCTTCTAGCGGTTCGATCCCCTGCTGAGAACTAGCTTTTCTAACCCCTCCCCACCCCTCCCAGGTAGGGAATCCCAAATCCAAGTTGAACAAGGTGATTCCTATAGGTCCCCAGGTGGTTCTTGTGTCTCCTGGGGGAAGCTTGTTAAAATGCCGATCCCAGGTCAGCAAATGGGGTGGGGGACGGACCGGCCTGGTACCACAGTGGGTTAAGCTGCAGAGCTGCTGAGTATTGGTGGTTCAAACCCACCAGCTGCCCCTTGGGAGACAAAGGAGGCCCTCTGCTTCTGTAAAATAATGAATCTGTCTTTTGGGGCTCCATGGTAGTGGGTCGGGGTGGAAAAGGGAAATTCTCAGCAGGGGGGGGTGGAATTGGAATGAACCGGTTCCAGGCCCTGGAGCGGCAAGGGGTTGGAGTGGGGGTGACACTGCGGAGGCTCCCTGGGGCGGACCCCTCTCCTCTCAACTCTCTCCACCGGCATGTCTGAGTGGCCTGCTCAAGGACCAGAGAGGGATCCTGCTCAGGCCGGGCTTGGACTCACCCTCTGGAAACTGGTAATTAATGAGATCCCAGCTGAAAAATTAGACAAGGGGCAGAAATTGCCCCAGGAGCTGGTTGCTGGGAGCTGGAAGGGAGCCGTGGAGAAGCTGCCAGGCCAGCAGCCTGGCTCAACCCCACCCGCTCCCTCCACTCCACTTCCTGTTCCTGCACCTCCCCGGCCCCACAGCAGCCCATAAACCACCCACACGCCTGCCCCTGCCCTGTCCCACACTGAGGATGGGCCAGGGCTCTGTAAACTGCAGAGCTCCTTCCACTCACAGGCTGGCTTATTCACTTAGAGCACACCCAGACAGTCCCCCAACATCCGCAGCCCCCAAGGCCCACTCCAAGCCCCTGTCAGCCCAGGTTCTCAAGTCTGCGATGGCCAGACCTTGGGACTCTGTCCTGGGATCTTAGAAATCAGAGGCAGGGGCTGGCTGATGCAGGGAACCAGGTAGAAGTTAGAAATGGTAACTCTCCTCTCAGGTGTGAATCCCAGGCCCTGCTGAGTGCATGGGGGCTGGAGTATCCTAACTGTTGGGGGAGGTTTGAGTTGGGGGTGGGCATCCCTAAGAGGCACTGGGGGCCTGCACAGTGACTAGTCACAGCGCCTTCCCTGTGCCAGGAACTGGTCCGAGATTTTACACACACCTAATCCTCACCATCACGCTGTGGGGCCGACAGGGCTATTATTCCCACTTGACAGATGAAGAAACCAAGGAACAGAGAGGTTAAGTGAACTGGCCCAAGGACACACAGCAGCAGAGTGCTAGAGCTCAGATCTGAACTGGAGCCATCTAACTTCATTCACTCTCTTAACTGAACAGGGTAATGGTTTGGGGCCGAGAGAAACTCTATCCCCAGAGCAGTGGTTCTCAACCTTCCTAATGGCTCGACCCTTGAATACCGTTCCTCATGTGGTGACCCCCCAACCATAAAATTATTTTCGTTGCTACCTCATCACTGTCACTTTGCCACAGTTATGAATTAGGCAACCCCTGTGAAAGGGTCTTCGACCCCCCAAAGGGGTCATGACCCACAGGTTGAGAGAACAGCTGCCCTAGAGGGACTAGGTAGCTCTAGCTGCCACATTGGCAGCCGTCCAGCATGAGGCCCAGGCTAGGGACCCTTGCGTGGGGGAGGAGCTTTTAGGACTCTACACCCGGCTGCCTATAGCTCTTACTATAAAGGACCCTAGACCACCAAGTGGGCAGCTGGGAGAGGGAGGGAGCTGTGAAGCCCCCACCCCCAGCCTTTCTCACCAGGGAAGCCTGTGGCTAGATTCCCATCCATCCCAGTACTCTCCAGAGTCCCTGGGGCAGAGTTCCTGGAGTCAAAACTCCAGGGGATTGGATGGGGTGTGCTCACTGAGGAAGGGGGACCCCTGGCCTCCGTGTGGAGGTGACTGAGGGGCAGAGCCTTCCCCAGATGACAGTCGCAAGGGTCTGTCAGAGGGGGGGCTAGAAGAGATGCCACAACATGCTAAGACCCTCTTAGTGGAGTCCCCAGGCCAACGCCAAACCCCGAGCTGAGTCCACGCATGGTGATCCTGTGGGACAGAGCAGAACTGTCCCATAGGCGGTCCACGGCTCACTCCTGCCATGGGCAGACGGCCATGCTGTGCTGGAGGGGAGCAGCTGCCGGGGGATCAAACAGCGGAGATGGGGTGCTTTTACCACTGCACTACCAGGGCTTCTGTCTCCAGCGCCAACCCCCCTCAAAAAAAAGCCACTGCCCAGTCCCTGCCAAATCCTCCTGAGGCCTCAGGGGGCCGGGCCACATGGGGGGCCCTGGCAGCCCGGGACTTTTAAACGCAACTTTCCTGCTTCCCCCAAGTCTCTGGCCGCCTCCCCTCATCCAGACCGTGGCCCCCCCTTCCCAGGGTGATGTCAGCCCCGCCCCGCCCCCCGAGGGAGTACTGTGGCCAAATATGGCGAACACAGCAGTGCTTGGGAGCTGGGACAAACTGGGGGGGGCGGGGCGGGCGGCCCCTGGCTGGGACCGCTGGCAGCTGGTGAGGGGGAGGGGAGCTGAGGGGGCAGCTACAGGATGAGTCAAGGAGAGAACCCGGACCACCTTCTGATGACAGTGCCTCCCTCCCAGGGACATGCCTGTGGGCAGGGGCCCCAACACCGAAGCACGCAAGTGACCCTGCACAAAGCCGTGCACAAGAGTACTTGTGGGCAGGCATGCTGCGTGGGTGCCCAGGGCGACCCCCCTAAGGTGTGGCACCTGCTTGGGTCACCATAGTGGGCAGCAATGCCAGGCTGGGCTGAGCTCTCAGTCCCTTGTAGCCCCAGGAGGGGCTGGCGTGCGGGGTGCATTCCGAGAGTTACTGCTGGGACAGGGTGGAGGCTGAGGGGGCCCCCAGACACCCAGACATCAATGGGGCCAGGCTCAGACAAAATGTGACTCAGGCCTGGGGGGGTGGGACAAAGAGTCAAGAGGGGCCTGGCTGAGGCTCAGCCCAGGGCAGGGTCTCCGCTCCCTGTTGGAGAGGGGCTGGGAGGTGGCAGTCCCCAGGCTGCTTGCTGACACTTGCCCAGATGTCCGCAGGCTCTGCTTTGCTGGGTTGAGGTAGGGAGAGGGAGAAACACAGGTGAGGGGCAGAGGAGAGGAGGGGGGGCGGGAAGGGACCATGAATTGGGGAGAAGCTGGGATGGGAGTTAAGAGAGAGAGATGAATGGACAGACCCAGAGAGACAGAACAGGCAGTGTGGTGTTGTGTGTGTGTGTGTATGTGTGTGTGTGTTTGCACGCATGTGCGTGAGCACAGGGAGGTCAACTCAACTGAGTGTCAGGTCAGTGTGGTGGGGGTGGGGTGAAAAGAGAGCCCGAGAGGGGGTGGGGTGAAAAGAGAGCCCGAGAGTGGTCAACAACAGAGACCCGAGGGATGAGGACACACACAGGGCAGGAGTGACCAAGTGGAGGAGGGAGGGGCAGGCCAGGAAGGGGCCAGGAGAGAGGAACCAAATCCAGAGACACGGAGATGAAGGGAAGGGACAGGACACCCAGAGGTGAGAGCAGACCCACAGGGAGGAGGGACAAGGAGGCCACTGCTGGGGGCTGGGGTTAGTCACCACAGGGCGGTGTCCAGGACCTCCCCGTTCTCCCAGAACCATTATCAGATGTCCTACCCTCCTGGCCGCTCCCTCGGCCTGACCCCACACACCTGCTCCCTTCCTCTGGGAGCCCTCAGTCCTCAGGGTCAGAAGGCACCCCTGGGTGGTGACAGGGGTAGGGGCTAGGACTCTGGGTGAGCAGGCTTTGGGGCCCTGGGGAGATAAGGGGCACCTGGCTGTCCACTCCCCACCCTGGGGCCAGAGCTGCCGGAAGAACTGGCTGGACAGCTCCAGAGGGAGAAGCCAGTGCTGGGGCTGCTACAGGGGCCCTGGACCCCCACTCCCAGGGGCCCTGAAGGCTCCAGACATTCCCACCCCACCTCCCTTCCAAGAAGGGAAGGGCAAGGCTGAGGCAGGGTGCCCCCAGATCCAATGCTGTGGTAGGGGGTGCAGATCAGCCCAGCAAGGGGGCCAGAGGTGCCCCACCTCACCCAGCCCTTCCCTTTGCCCTGGCCAGCCCCACTGGGACGACCCACTGGGCTAGTGGCCTTGCAGGGGCTAGTGGCCTGCAGCTGCCTACTTCTGCAGGGACCCTGAACCCAAGTGCTCTGAGGGGTGGGGGCGGGGGCATGGGTGAAACCAGCAGTTGTACCCCAAAGCCCCTGCACCCAAACCTGGCCTGGGCTGGGCTGACTGGGCAGGGCTGGGGGTGGGCAGTTCTGAGGGCTGGAGGAGCCTCCCTCACAGGGCCCAGCTGTTCTCCAGCTGCCAGAAGCTTCCACCCGCTAAGAGACCAAGCTCTGGTTGGGACCAGACTGGGGCAGGGCAGGGGGTGGGGGTAGTGTCTGCCTCCCCCACCTCCAGCTCAAGGACTCCTGAGGGACCCTGCCAAGTGGCCACACCCCACCAGGCTGGGGAGGGAGCAACCTCTTCCCTGGAGTAGGGGCTAGATTTTACAGGAGGAAGCAATTTGCAGAGCCCACTAGGAGGGAGGTGGGAACCTCCTCCCCTCTCCCCGCCTACTAATGTGCTTCCAATTTGGGAATCAAGCCTCTAGGGCACCCACCCCCACCACTACTTGGGGAAGGGGCTTCTGGGTGGGGTGGGGAGGGGCAGAGCTACGGGGGGGGGCCCCCCCGGCGCCCGCGTGACTCTCTTGTCCTCTAAAGCTCAACCTCACTGCCACTCCACCCCAGAGCAGTGCTGGGGGGGGTGAGGTGGGGTGGGGGTGTAGACCCTGCATGTAGACTCAAGGCCCTCAAGCTGCGGTGGACTCTGTCCTGTCTCCTCAATTTGTCCCCTTCCCAGCGGGGGGCCAGGGATCCATGAGGGATAAGCTTGGGGGGAGGGAGGGGCAGGGACTCAGTCAACAAGACACTCTTGATGGTGTCCTGCTCTAAGTAACCCCCCAGTGGGCCACCCCTCGACCTCTGGGTCACCCTGCGCACTGCTCCAGTCAACGGGTCAGGCAAGGCCTGTGACAGCACAAGGTCTCCCCCTGCTCCATCCCTCTCACTGTTCCCTGCACCTCACCCTACTTGGGGTTTGCACGGTACCTCTCCACGGTCCTTCATGTGGACACCACACGCTACAGGGTCACAGGCCCCCTCAATGTGTCACGCTGTAACCTACACCCTCTCTGGCACAGCCACCAAGGATGTCACCCACACTGTCTGACAGCCCCAAACAATCTCAGATAGTGGCCACCCACAGAGGCGCAGTCTCAGGCACACCCCAGCTTCTCTCACACGCAGCGCTGCACATGGGGTTTCTTTCTGGCGTGGTTTCACCCACACGCCTTCATCACACTTGGCTTATCACAACAGTCCTGTCCAGTGTCTCCAGTGTCCCCCACACAGCCACGACACCACTGTTTCTTTCTACAAAGCATTGTAGGTCACCCAGAAAGGCTGCCTCGTCTGCTTGACACGCACCTAGGGCCTGACCTACAGCCCCACCTGGCATCATGCAGCCAGTGCCCCGTAAACAGCTCCTCACCCTCAAACAGCATTGTAACTACACACAGGTCCACACACTGCTTCTGTCCGACACGCACGGTGAGACCCCCACTCACACGGCCGGCCTGCCCGCCCACACTGTCCGTGTTCCTCACATATGGGTGAGTGAGGTGTAGCACGGCTGCACACTGAGAACGACCCCAAACCCCACGGTTCCTCTGGCTGGGCATGGTCAACCACAAGACGGTCACACATTGCCTTGTACACACTCGCCAGTCGGTCACAGACGATGTCATCATGCAGCTTCGCTGGCTCGTAGACAGAGCTGGTCGGAGTCACACACACCAACTCTTTAGCTGGCTGCTTCCTCGCATGCTCGAAGCCCCATACTGCACCCTCCCCTTACACACACACACACAGAGCTGCACGCTCATTTCCCCCTATCACTTCCTGTCCTCTCAGGCCTGGCAGGGCGCACAGGAAACAATCAGCACTCTAGGAAACCCCGAGGGCTCAGGCTTTGGGGATCTGTCAAACATAAAACCCGAAGCACCCCAAACCCATTGCCCTGGAGTGGATCCCGACTCACAGTGACCCTACAGGGCGGGGTGGAGCCAACTGCTGCATAGGATTTACAAGGCTCTGAACCTTCGGAAAGCAGACTGCCACATCCGTCATTCCTGCTTGGAGGGGCTGACCGGTTGGTTCGAACAGCTGACCTTTTGCTTAGCAGCTGAGCACTTTAACTTGGGCACCACCAGGCTCCTCTGGAGAGCTGAAGGGGGACTGAGTTCTCTGGCCCTGTGGAATCTCCGAGAGATCCTTCAACCTCCTCTCCTGAGGGCAGCAGGCTCTCCTGCAGAGACACCCCTCAGCCTGGCACCACACTAGGAGGGGAGAGCAGGGCCATGCCATGGGGACAGGGCTGAGTGTGACCTGCTGACCTCCCTGCTGTATGACTAG